AATAAAATCTTAAAGTGAGGAATCGTGTCAAAACCGGAAGTGCTATTGATAAAGCATCTACCCGTTGATAAAGCACAAGTTTATCTAATGGGCTGTATCCCCAATACGTATATATATATGAGATAAAATAAATTATCATAAAAACATATAGGCGAACATCGATGTTATCTTAACGCCAGTGTATTTGTTGTTTACCAAAAAAAAAAAACCGAAATATAGATAAACGACTTTGAAATTTTGCAGTATAATGACCGTAACAAGCACCCCTAATGTAGATTTTCCATGGAATTCCAATCATTTCCATATAAAACTCGAAAAGTGTGTCTGGAAGTTTTTGGAATCTTTATGAATTTTAAAAAATGGACTTAGACAGTTTTTGGTTTAGAAAGTAGTGGAATTCTCGTGTAACTCATACCAAAGGATAGTAAATAAACAAGCCTCGCAATAGCAAAGTGTGTGGTTATAAATAAACCTAACCAAGTGTTCATGCAGGTCAAAAATACAGCTAATGAGCAAATAAAAGTTCCCGCTGGAACAATTTTAGCATCGGTGAATCCAATTGATGACGCGAGTATATTTTCGTTAGATCAACAAAACGCAAAAATGACCTTAAAAAATTGTACCTCTGGAATTGTCTTTGAGATAAAAGAGAAAGAAATTTTCAAATATTTGTAAACAAAAATAGTGATGTCTTCGCAAACAATTTATCAGAATTGGATAAATGTAATGTTTTTTTGTAATGCAATTATCACTGAAGATGAAAAGCCAATCAAATCGCAGTCATATCGTACGTATAAAAAAAAAGCCCGAATCGGAAGAGGAGATTCGGGAATTATTTTGCTTCAGACATGATTTAACGTGAACTCTAATGAAATACTGTTATGACACCTGCAAGAAAACTTTAATTTCTTCCTTGTCAGTCTATTGCTATTTTTCTGTTCTAGAATGAATATTAAATGTATTTAGCAAGTTTCATAAAATTCCGTCTCAAGACAGGAAAAATATGGTCGACACTCTGTGACAAGGATTTCGTGGTGAACACATACATAGCAAAAGATGAACTATATGTTATGATACTGAGCGTTAAATTTTTGTTATTTTTTCGTTTTATTATTTTAATGGATGCATACTGATTCACATGAGGTCAAAAAAAATTATTCAAATAAGTTTACTTTTTATAACAGGACAGAAGTAATGTTTTTCACAAGGAAGGGAGTTGGGCATAAAATAGTATTGAAATAGTACATATTATTGAAATATCAAGGTGTTTTCTGCTTCAGTTCAGACGACACGTTCATCAAATATATATTTTGTATCTCTTGGTATTATATAAAAAAAATATGCATGTTTGTCATTCTCTTGTAATTTCTACATGTTTTTCATTATGTTTTTCAAATAAGTACACCAAAAATTGTTATTTAGGCCATTCAGATGATTACCCATATGAGATATATAGGAAATATCACCCTGTGGTATCTTGTCCAAATGCCTGGTTAGGTAGTTACCAAATTTTTTGTGAGGAAACTTGTTTAAGTAGCTATGCTTAAATGACAAATTCTCGGGGGGAAATAAATATTTTTGAGGAACGTGTCGTTTGACCTTAGTTACGATTGGTTTGCCTAAATAATTATTTTTTCCAATTAACCGATATTTAGTCGCATATTCAGAATTTTTATTTTGCTCCAGGTATGGTCTAAATTCTTTAAATTTAAAGATTAAGAAACTACTTGAGTAAATAATGTTAACGAGTGTGATGACAAGGTATTTGTTAAGGTCTCCTCTAATTTTCATGCATTTCTCTCAACCCGATACATCCAAATCAGGCCGTTGTGTGGTCAGGTTATCTTAGAGGAAATCTGGATTATTTTTATATGCTCCATTTAACACGAACGAACAGCAAAGACGGCCAAAAAAATGCTATTACTCCTCATTTACAGTCTTAACTCACACAATAAAACCTTACTTCTTAGACCTTACTTTTTAGACACCAGTATGTCTAAGTACTAAATTTGGTTTTATTCCAGGTTTCACAACAGTATTAAATTCTGCTATATATATTCTTATCAAAAATACGCAAATTTGAATAGATGTAACTAATTGAAAACAAACTTCTGCGACGTGTTTGCTTTTTAGATCTTGTAAAACAATATATTAAAAAGATTTGAATACCAAAAAATACATAGCCATCCAGCGAGGGATGCAAGTTTGTTTCGGTCGAAGTCTAGCAGGTGTCTGATAATCTAGTCCAGGGCCTAAATACTTCCCGCTCAAATACAGTACTAGTATATAAAAAAATCAGCACGCCCTAAATTTGAATAAATCTGGTCAATGCAGGAAGTTTACGTGTTGTTTTTCATCTCTTAATTCAGCTCCAGTCTCGTATAAAAATGCCCGTATCGTATAAATAAGCCCGAATTTTGCGTCAACCATGTTTTGACATGAACTCTTGTGAAATACTGTCACCTACATAACATATCTGGATTTGCAAAGTTTGAAACTTCACCAACAAACATGCTTTGTTGCGATCATTAATATATCTAATAGATCTATTAGAAAACTATATGTTGTGTTTATAAACTTTGTAGCACAAATAATGGGGAAAAAATACCTTTTTTCATCATATGGTGCGATAAAAATTGAAATTTCTTCCTCATGTAGACCTACTGTCGAGAGAAGTTCGGAATCGCAAAATATCTTTACTAATGTTAGGCGCTCCATTCCATTTTTTACATCTTTCAAAAGCCTATTATACCCATCTTCTGTTACAAATGTCAGGTCAAAGAGAATACTTCCAAACTTGAGCTGCAAACTTTCTAATTCGTATTTCGAGCTGAGATCCCAAAGATAGTTAATAAACTTTTGAAATATTGATATCTGTCTCTTTGGATGCAAACTTGAAAACCATTCCATTTTTCTTCTCATTTTTGTCAACATTTCATCGATAACATCTTTTTTATCAACCTTTTCTAGAAATTTTTTGAGACTTTCTTGAATAGTGTATATGTCCTCTTCCGTTGAATTTTCGTGGATTGAGTCTATCATAAAATTTATGCCATCCTTAATATTGTTTGTGACTGTTTCTACCGCATGTTTTCTTTGAGAATCTTTTGCCTTGAAAGTCATTTGAAAAACATGGCGTAGCTTATCTGAAAGAATTTAAAGCATATGAATACTCAGTTAACACCACTTGATATATTTACACAATAAGATATATGGAGATAACAAACAATTAACAATCTCAAAAGAACTTAGACACAATACAGATTTGATGCAAAATAAACACGGACCTCCGAAACATCAGACGCCTATTTCTGAAAGATCAGGCGTAAGATTAATCCTGACTGAATCAGTGACTTAACCTCAAAATCGGACGTAGTTGCTTTCTCAAAAAGGCAGAGGCTTAGTCAAAACTGAAATTAGCTTAAAGCTGTTCCTGCTCATGAGTACGCGTAAGTTATTAGTCTGTAAAATGGCAAGTGTTTTGATCATAAAGAGTTTTTAAAAAATTAGTTATAATACATATTTATATACATAATTATTATCGTAGTATACTTCTTTTTAAAGTATTATGATCTGCAATTTTGAAAATTTTATTTCGCTATTAAAATGTATTATTATGATAAAGTTGTACATGTATGTAACTTAAACCTTTATGGTCAATAAGACTAAAATAAAGCAAAAGAAAGACTTCCGTATACAATCCAATATGCAGGTTTTACACAGTTTTATATAAGAAATCATTATCGTATAGGATGACAATAATGTAATTTTGGTTTAATCGAAGCTTATAATTAATAGTTCTTCCAACAGAAATTTATAGCTATTATATAATTATATAATTTTCTCTGTCATTGAAATAATTATTTACAATTTTGCAACAAAAAATTCCGATATCTCACAAGAGCTACTGTCAGAGCGAGAATGGGAGGACACTGAGCAGGTGCTTCAGGATTTTCTACAACGAAGGTACAGATTGGACTACCTTATCGATTTTGAAAGAGTACACAGGATGGGTAGATATGATGAATTTAGCGAATACCCGCGGAAGATAGTAGCAAAATTCTCCTACTTCAAAGATAGAGAATACAACAGAATGAATGCAGCAAAAAAACTGAAGGGAAGTAATGTTTACGCTAACGAACAGTTTCCGCCCGAAATCGAGGAAAAGAGGAAAAAACTTTACCCGATTTTAAGACAAGCAAGAAAGGACCGTAAAGATGCCAAGTTAGTGCGTGATCTACTCTACATAGACGGCAAGGTGTACACCGAGGGGAATCCGCCACCGCTCCTACAGTTGAGTGGACCAGTGACAAGAACGCCTCCGGCTGGCTAAATAAAACGCCGAACGATCGTAATCCAAAGCGACCGAGGGTGTTATCTACGCAAGAGAATACTAAGGAGGGACAGGCAGCAGAACAGACCAATGGTCTAAGATTTCTATCCCTTAATGTTTGTGGAATTAAAAACAGACTGAACTACAGTGATCTCAAAATTCGATATCATTGGGCTCACTGAGACCAAAAAGGACGACTCTGATAATATTTGTATACCTAGATTTGTAACATACATTAAAAATAGACACACACAAGAAACATATATTGACGCAAGCGTCAAAAATCAGCCGCAAACCAATTAATTGTTCCTTTTATGAAGCAACTAAAGACTGAAATGGTGATCTGTTTTAAAGTATCTTATATTTATCTGTTAATATATATCCTCGTGACATTAAACACTTGTGCACGACATTGCATGATTTTCTTAATTATATAATGCATGTTCAGTATTACATGTATATATAAGCAAATTACCCCTGGTCCTCTGCGTCAACAAACTATATATTAAGAGGCATTTACATTAAACTAAAGTTTAATGTAATCTACAACTAGTTATGCAGTGTTGTTTTAATTTAATAAAAATGCAACAAATATGTGGGTCTCCTTGCTCTCTCTTAGAGGAAAAAACTCCCTCTAGATCCGCCACTACATTTCTTCTCCTTCAGTGCGGGAAAATTCTTGGCACACTGTAAAACGTGCATTAACCTCGTCTGCTAGGACCAAATCTTGTAATATTCTGACTGCAGCCTGCTAGATCTTTTGATGAATTAACCATATTTTTGAAAAGTTTGATATATGTACATGTGTACACGTCATTTTAAAATAAATACGTACAAATCCTGTTTAAATAGAGAAAGTAAAAATTGTGCAATATACATAACGCGGTCTTTGCTTTAGACTATGCCCAACACATTGTCCTAATACTTTCTCCGCACCTCAAACATGTCTAAGTTTCTCAATCAGGATTGGATGAAATATTTACCTCATTCTTTATTTAAAAAATTAATCTTATGTTTATTGTGCGTTCTTGTTAAACATTTAGACGCTCTTTTTAATATACTATTATATTAATGTTAAATATTTTTATTTGAATTGTTTTAACTCCGCAGAAACGCACAGCGACTTCAAACTTTCATATCATATAAACGACCGCCTCCTGGCGGCCGGTAATTAACAAATACTAGATCCAGCGGTATTTTAGTTGCAATAAGGGATAGTATTGTAAAATATGTTCAATTTATCAAAACTCAGTGTAAATACGTTTTACGGTTTAAAATTAGCAAAGTACTCTTTAATACAAATGAAGATATATTATTTGGGGTTTGTTATATCCCCCCTGAAGGAGACTGGAAGATTATGCAAATGAGATAAATCTACTTCAAGAAAATCAAGCGGGTTTTAGGAAAGGTTATTCTACACTAGATCATATCTAAACATTACAATTTTTATCTAATATTTTAATGCAAAAAAGGAGAAAATTGTTTTGTGCTTTCATTGATTTTAAACAAGCCTTTGATACTGTGTGGCGAAATGGGCTCGGACCAAATTACATATTAGTGGAATACACGGCAAGTGTTTTCGATATATACAAAATATGTACAAAGGTGTAAAATCTATGGTTAAATTAAATGGCATGTCGACAGATTTTTTTAGTTGTAATGCAGGGAGAAAATCTTTCAGCTTTTTTATTTTAAATGTATATAAATGATCTTGAAGATTTTTTATCGAATAAGAATATTATAGGCTTAAAGGGTATTACAAATGATATTGAGAATGAACTCCTAATGTATTTTAAACTATTGGTGCTCTTTTATGCAGACGACACTGTAATTTTGATTGAATCAGCTGATGAACTACAACTAGCACTAAATGAATTTCATACATATTGTTCACAATGGAAATTGCATGTAAATGTTGAAAAAACAAAGATTCTTGCTTTCTCGAAAGGGCCAATGTTGAAAAGAAAATTTTTTATGACAATTTAGTTATAGAAAATGTGAAAGAATTTAAATATTTAGGCGTTGTATTCTCACGTACTGGTTCTTTTTGTAAAACAAAAAAACATCTGTATGAACAAGCACAAAAAGCTATGTACGGCATTATCAGAAAAATCAGACAATTTAAATTATCAGTCGACTGCCAATTTGATCTTTTTGATAAAGTTGTTGTGCCAGTTTTATTGTATGGCTCTGAAATATGGGGTTATGAAAATCTAGATGTTATTGAACGTTTACATTTGAAATTCTTAAAACATGTATTTAATTTAAAAAGTTCCACGCCATCATATATGGTTTATGGTGAAACAGGTCGTTTTCCTCTTTATATCTCAATATACAGTAGAATGATTACTGGGCAAAACTTTTTTCCGGCCCGCAAAATAAAATTGTAAATGTGTTATACAAATATACACTAAAACTTTATTGTGATGGAAATCTAACAAATCCTTGGTTAAACTGTATACAGAAAATCTGTAACATGTGTGGCTTATCAAATGTATGGAACCTACAAGGTGTGTGTATTAATTATGAATGGATAAGTGCTAACGTTAAGCAAATACTACAAGATCAATTTATTCAAAATTGGTTCAGTGATATAAATAACTTTGGATTCGAAAACTATCTTTGTAAATTATCCCCTAAATTTAGAAAAATTCTATTAAAATTTCGCACCACAAATCATCATTTACCAGTAGAAACTAGAAGGTGGTGTGGTATACCACTTTCTGAAAGACTTTGTACACTTTGTAGCAAATGTCAAATTGCTGATGAATTTCATTACATTCTAGAATGCAAAGCTTTGGAAAATGAAAGGAAAAAATACCTAGGTAATTATTATTCTAGTAGACCGAATATTATTAAATTTTCAGAACTTATGTCAACTCAAAAGGAACAAATTCTGAAAAAATTTTGTATGTTTATTATGTATGTTTATGTATGTTTATTTTAAAAATTTAAAAATTTATGACGCTACCTGTCCTCCTTATTATGTTACTTATTGTCTGTTTCTCCCTCCTTTTTCATTTTTTCTTCATTTTGCAACATTTTGTATTGTATATATTATATTTTTGTACCTCTGACCAGTTTGTTTAAAATGTATATATGTTTTACTGTACCCCATGTACCGATATTTTGGTTTGGGAGAATAAATTGAACTTGAACTTGAACTTGGAGCTACTCTGAACTCTGTGGGTTTTATAATTTGCTTTACATCGAACAATAAAAGATTCCGAACACAATAGAATGGGTACCGGTGATCCTATTAAAGTGATTCTTAATACTAACGAGTTACTCTCTTTGGGTTATTATCTTTTAACACAGTAGAAAATTTTTGTGCGATGTACATCAAGTAAAAATATATATGGATTACCCGGTATTATAAATTCCTTATTTATAAAAGTGAGTACAAAATATTGCGAAATGGCTTTAGACGGCAAATCGCCAGAAAAATTCGCGCTTTTCATGAAATTTTACATGTATTTTAGCACGATAAAAATAAAAGCGAATAACTTACTTCATTAACTTACTTGTAGCGCTTCTCGAGAAATTACGCGATAATTAATTCCTGACGTATATTTTTTTCATTAACGAAAGGAAACAATTTTAAATACATAGTAAACAGTACATAATGCCTCACTTTTTCCACTTAGTCGAACATTTTTTGTAGGTTCTTTCAATTCCTGAACATCTTTTTTCAAAGACATTATTAAATCGCGTAGTTCTACGTCTCTTTGACAATCATTCTTGATCTTTTCTATCTCTGCCAACTCATCTTCTTTTTTCAGTGATTGTTCTCTTATGTTCTGTAAACCATTCAAGTAGTTTTTTCCTGTGTACAACTGTAGTCTTGTACATACTTTGGAAATGATTAACCAACATTTATCAAATGTGTCTTTAGTAGTAGAAGCTGAACTCACATGTCCGAACACGTCATTTCGAATAAGCCTTATTCTTTCAATATCATCACCTACTGTATTTTCACCTTCTTTTGGCATGGAATCCCCTCCCCAACCATTTGTAGGCTGAGGGATGTTTTTACAAATATTCCTGAGTAATTTGTACATTAATGAAATGTCAAGTTCCTTATATCCAGACGTTGCAGTCTGACTTAGTAGAAGTCGTTGATTTGCAGAAAGATTCCGGAAAATATCTTCTGATTTCACTAGTGCATTCATATCTTTAGGATCCACATTTATTTTAAGAATGTCTCTGTAAGCTTGAGATAGTTCATCGTTTATTGCCATTCCTAGTTTGGCAAACCTAGAACGTCCTTCATTGGGGTTTAATCCGTATGCCATTTTTTCTTCTAAAAACTGACTGTCAGAGTATTTTTCTAAAACAAATAACAGTTACAAATGATTTTTTTAACCTTATTAAATCTTCCTATTCAGCTCAGGGATCATGACTCAAGAGGCAAGCAAATGGAGTAAAACCACAGGAGCCGATAACATGCTTCACTGTACGTGTAAACTGTATACACAGTTATTTTCTCCCCCTTTTATTTCCGTCCAGTCACAGTTTTGTTAAAGAAATTGTACTGTATTCTTTGAATCCCTCCCCCTTTTAAATTCGACTAACAGAGGTTAAGGTGAAAGGGGGAAAAATAAAATGGGGCGAACATTTCCTTGTATACTGTATTTGATTTTTCGTCATCACCATACATAAAATAAAATAAAAATGTATTCAAGTGATTACGTAAAATCAAATAAAGTATGCTACCGGCCTCTGTGAGTAAAACTTTTCATCTTATTCTGTATACATAATGAAAACATATAAAATGAAAAATATAATGGAAGCTTTTAATCCCCAAGGTGCATTTGTGTTACAACGCAAGGGAATGCTAACTTGATTTTAAGTTAGTTCATCTATACCCTTACGTCTTTCATAAAGATTTTTATATGCTAACTTGATTTTAAGTTAATTCATCTATACCCTTACGTCTTTCATAAAGATTTTATAAACATTGTATTTTGTATTCAAAATTAAAATTATTCGTAGAATAATCACGTGCTAAAGTTTGGAGTCTGTGGCAACGAACTTTGAAAAAATTACGCACTTGAAAAAGTATTTCAAAGTGCGTCAAAATTAGGTCAAAATCAACGCACTTTAAAAAAAATTTCGAAGTACGTTAAGTTTGGGACACACTCAACGCACTTGGAAAAAAAATATGTATAAAACAAAAAAATCTAGACTTAGATTTTAGTAATTTAAAGAATCAATTTCTTATAATTATTTCTTTCAAAAAACTTTTTAATTTTCATGTACTTATCTAACCTCATTGAGAACAAGGGGAAGACTAGTAGAAGGTCTCTAAGCTTAACTTTTTTTCTAAAACATTGTACATAGCCCGTCAGTGGCAAATTGAAAGTGAACCCCCCCCCCCCCAGGTAAGCCCAATTTTCAAAGACTATTTTTTGTATATCTTTGCAAAACATTGGTGTGCAAAAGCCCTCCCCGGCCCTTTCGGTACCAATGCCTACGTTACACCCAAATATATATTTGCATAACTGGTATGGCGTTGAAAACTTTCAATAAATTTTAGTTTACATAAAATGCATGCAAACTGGAAAAAAAATAATTACCGTAAAATATTTAAGAGTAAAAGAATTTTCAAAGCATAGAAAAATCAAAATGGCTCACTTTCACATCCTGAAGTGATATCATCACTGAAAAGTTTTCAATCAGGTTCATTTATTTACCTAAGATTTGCAAGAATTTATTTATGTAATCTTCAAGCAGTCGAAACTTACAAAGAACCAGCATAAATCAATTATAACATTAATTTGTTTCCCTGCTATTTTTTTTTAATTTAAAACCATATCAGAAACCCTCAAGTATATCATGTCATTCTCTTCTTCAAAAGTTTTCCGTGTTTGTAATGTACGTCACTTTCCACTTAAGTTTTCCGGGTCTAGATTGTTTTAAATAAAAAGAATAGATATTATTAGTTATCCAGGTCCAATCAAGGGTGTACGGGGATTTACCCCGGGTTTTATTCCATACACCCTGAGGCCGAAGGCCTCAGGGTGTATGGAATAAAACCCGGGGTAAATCCCCGTACACCCTTGATTGGACCTGGATAACGAATTTATTTCCTTTGTACCCATAAGAGTCCTCTGTAAACATCAGAGTGTGTCTCAATCTATCGATTAGATAACTACTATCATAGAGAATGCATGCATTGTGACGTCACGTTTTATTTACACACGGCTCAAGTCGGGTGCACGGATATTTACACCCGACTTTGTAACCAATCAAAGCTCGTGTTACAAGCTAGATAGGAAATAAGTTATTTTTTCCAATGTTTCCGTCTCAAATTTCCAAAACAAGTTCGACATTGTAATGATGTTTAGTATTCATAATTTCCGGTAATGAAATATTCCCCCTCTACCCCATCAAGCAAATTATAAAAAGTATTTTTTTTTTTTAAAAACTTTATTACTTATCATGATTACACCTGGTTAAGATAATGGATGTTTTTTATGGTTTAAGAAAGCTATTGGCTTTAAATTACGTGTATTTTTCAGAACTCTCAGAAAGAAAAAAAAACCTTGACCGGAATTAGTTTATTTATTTACAAAAAACCGTATTGTTCTCGGCCTTATGTATCAAGTATCATTTTATGATTTATAATTCTGGTCGTTAAAAAAACTATATCTTAATATTGTTTGTGCATTTACTGCTTCGATATTTCAAAACGCTTTTTGACATTTCTTACTTTGTCATAATGTTAAAACATGCACAATGTAATCTTTGATATATGCGTTTGTTTTGCAACATATTTCCTTGAAAATAAAAATGAAATATTTCACGGATGTAAGATAGATAAATCCTGAGAACAAAACCAAAGGAGTGCAATAACTAGTACCGTTACATAGCCCTAAAGTTTAAACAGGCACAGTCATGCCCTTTAAAGAACATGCAAGAATGCCAATGACAAATAATACAATAATACAATTACATGTACTAAGTTCCAACTTAATGTAATCAAGACAAGTACAAATGTACTTAGAGAACATTTGGAACAAAAAATATCCTTGCTCTAAAGCTTTTCCTTTCGGGTAGATACTTACTATAGTAGATCTAGAACTCTCAGTTAACTTATAAGTCCTTTGAATATTATAATTCATCCGAAAGCAGGATAAAACGTACGCTCAAATAGAACCTCGGGTCCCCCGCAAATAGTTCGTCAAGTTGCGTAGTAATAAAGCATTTTTAGGAACTCTTCAGGCATTAAAGGCACAAAAGTGCCAATCTCCAATGCAGAGTTGTCGTTCGTTCCTCTCTCAGACACCTCTGCAATGGGCTCACGTCAAGATTTTTGACATAACGTATAAAACGTGATATTTGCAGGATTGTTTCAAATTAAATTAATAGTTCTGGATAAATTTAGTAGTTATCTATATCAAAACTATAACATAAGCATAGAAATTGAATTATAATGAATTAAAACAAACGCACTATTTCTCGTGTTTATCACTGTGATATACGCGAGCCAGCGACAGAGGTGAATGTATGAGCCGATGGTAGAGAGTGCAAAAGTGCATCAATTCATCGCATATCAATACGGAAACCTCTTATTATTGATTGAATTATTATATGATAGACAGTTTTCTTTGTCTTACTCCAAAATAATCATATTTATAACATTATACAAACCACTTTCTAAAATATATATTAATAGAAACGTGAAAGTAAATAGGGGGGCCAGAGATCACCTTATATAATGAGTGTACAGCAGAAGGATAAAACGTACGCTCAACTAGGACCTCGGGTCCCCCGCAAATAGTTCGTCATTTTGCGTAGTAATAACACATTTTAGGAACTCTTCAGACGTTAAAGGCACAAAAGTAAATTCATCGATATCAATACGGAGACCTCAGGTCACCTTATATATTGATTGAATTTTATATGACAGACAGTTTTCTTTGTCTTACTCCAAAGTAATCATTTTTATAACTTTATACATATCAACTTTCTAATATATATATATATATAAGCAGAAACGTTAAAGTAATCAGGGGGATCAGGGGTAAACTTATATTATACATCAGTGGGGAAACCAGAGGTCACCTTATATTGTACATCATTAGAGGGATCATAGGCCACCTTACATTTTAAATTAATAGGGGCCCAAAGGTTATCTTATATTGTACATCATTTTGGGGACCAGAGGTCACCTTAGATTGTACATCAGTACGGGGACAAGTGGACACCTAATATTGTACATCAGTAGGGGGACCAAAGGTCACCTTATATTGTACATCAGTAGGGGGACCAGAGGACACCTTATATTGTACATCAGTTGGGGAACAAGAGGTCACCTTATATTAAGCATCAGTACGGGGACCAAAGGTCACCTTATATGTACATCGATTTGGGACCAGAGGTCGCTTTATATTGTACATCAGTTGGGGGACCAGAGGACACCTTATATTGTACATCAGTAGGGGGGCCAGAGGACACCTTATATTGTTAATCAGTAGGAGGACCAGAGGTCGCCTTATATTGTACATCAGTAGAGGGACCATAGATCACCTTATATTGTACATCAGTAGGGGGACCAGAGGACACCTTATATAGTACATCAGTAGGGGGACCAAAGAGCACCTTATACTGTACATCAGTAGGAGAACAAGAGGTCACCTTATGTTGAACAACAGTAGGGGGACCAGAGGACACCTTATATTGTACATCAGTAGGGGGACCAAAGGTCACCTTATATTGTACATCGGTAGGGGGACCGAAGGTCACCTTATATGTACATCGATAGGGGACCAGAGGTCACCTTATATTGTACATCAGTAGGGGGACCAGAGGTCACCTTATATTGTACATCAGTAGGGGGACCAGAGGACACCTTATATTGTAAATCAGTAGGAGGACCAGAGGTCGCCTTATACTGTACATCAGTAGGGGGACCAGAGGTCACCTTATATTGAACAACAGTAGGGGGACCAGAAGACACCTTATATTGTACATTAGTAGAAGGACCAGAGGTCACCTTATATTGTACATCAGTAGAGGGACCAGAGGACACCTTACACTGTAAATCAGGGACCTGGGACCATAGTCACCTTATATTGTACATCTGTAGGGGGACCAGAGGTCACCTTATATTTTACATCAGTAGGGGGGCCAGAGGACACCTTATATTGAACATCAGTAGGAGGAACAGAGGTCACCATATATTGTACTTCAGTAGGAGGACCAGAGGTCACCTTATATAGTACATCAGTAGGGGACCAGAGGTCACCTGATATTGTACATCAGTTGGGAGACCAGAGGACATCTTATA